CCAGGTATATCCCTACCAAGCCTGAATTAACTACTGTTGAGATGCACTTACAATGTCCAATTCCTTTACAACGACATCTATTACCGGCAGAATGACGGAGTCGCAATGAGGTCTCCACTCGGACCAGTGCCGGCGGATATTTTTCTTGCCAAACTAGAAGACGAATCATTGGGTCCACTCACAGATCGTTCCAACCTGTACTATCGCTATATGAACGATATCTTTTGTGTGACCAATAAGGATTTAAGTGTAGTGTATAGTGGTGGAGTTCAATGAGGTGCACCCGGCAATCAAGTTCACATACGAATTTGAACAAGAGGGCCAGCTCTCTTTTTTGGATGTACATCTGAGTAGGCGTACTGATTATTCCTTATTAAGGTGAATCAAAAAAAAAGAAAACGTGGATTGTCCAATATACAAACTTCAGTAGTTTCGTGCCGCTTAAATACAAGCGCAACTTAGTGCGTTGTCTCACGTCGAGGGCTCGAAAGATCTGTTCTGAAGATGCTCTAGACGATGAAATGAAATCCATACAGAACACGCTACGTGAAAATGGTTATCCGGATAGATTTATACAGCGCAGCCTACAGCTCAACCTAACATCGGACGTTGAGCAAGTGGCTGAAAAGAAAGCTCTCTTCATTCACCTTGGTTTCAAAGTCGATACAATTGCGGAGCTTATAACAAGAAAACTGACGCAGTCAGTAAGAAACACTTTTCCAGCTGCGGAACTGCGGTGTATATTTGCCACCAAACCGCTTATTCCCGTGTGCAATGAGGACAGACCGTCGAAGCTGACTTTCTCTTACGTAATCTATCGATTTGAGTGCACCTGTGGTGCAACATACATATGTCGAACAGCTCGCCAGTTGTCACATTGCATTAAGGAATATAGTCCTAAATGCTTGGTGAACGGAGGCACTGGAGTTTTGGCCAACGGAATTCTCCCACCTATTCGAATCAGGTCACAACGTTAACGTTCCGAACGCATTTACTGTGGTTTACCAGGTCCCCTTGAACAATTCAAAAGGTTTGCGTCTACGAATGCTCGCCACAGCAGAAGCTATTGAGATCCGAATGTTCCAACCTCCGCTACGCTCACAAAAGTAGTTTGTTCAAGCACTAAGTCTGTCCTGGCCGAACAGAAGTTCACCTAACCGTCACTGTGACACCGGCGTCGTCAGTTTGATTACAGAACACCTATCGATCTGTGTGAGTGTGTGTGTGCAAGACGGCGACTAACTACCTGCTGTCTAACCATTGACCTACATCTGAACCAATCACCGTGCATTTACCTTGGTATTTCAACCTTAAATGATTTGTACGGGCCCGTAGATGAATCATTGAAAACAATTGTTTACCTCAGACTGGTGTTCTTGATGAATTACTAGTGAGTAATGGGGATTTTGGTGTAATTGGAGACAATTCATCACAGTCCACTCTCAGTCAGCAGGTTTTAGCAAGTCTGGAAAAGAGGTAGACAACGCTGTTTCGATGTTGGTCTCGTTCCTGGTGCGCCTTCCATCAGGCCCCTGCTGACTGAGAGTGGACTGTGATGAATCATCTCTAATTGTACCAACATCCCAACTACTCTTTATTCATCTAAAATCCATCCGTCCGTATAGCTTCCAAGTGCTGTGTCGTACACATTCGCTATGCGGAAGGTCCCAGCTCGTGGGGCTAACTGCTGCCCTCTACACAGTTCGTAACTGGCATGGCAGTAGAAGATGAGTCGGGCTATATCATAGTTAACTGTCAATCATGCGGATCCTCGGCCGTCACCCACGGCTTAGTAGCACTAGCTGCTGGCATCCGGAAGTCAACGGATCGGAACGCGGCAGGGGTCCGGTGGAAGGCGCACCACTGACGAGACCCAGAATGTCGAAACAGCGCTGTCTGGTGCTTTTCCAGACTTGCCAAAGCCTGCTGACTGAGAGTGGACTGTGGTGAATTATCTCTAATTAAAATACATATGTTGCCGGTAGTACACTCACTTCTGCTCAACCACCAGCAGGCCTAAGGTTCTACCACTTACCCATACCTGCGCAGTTTTGAACAAGTGAATTATCTATCACAAGTCAGACGCCAAAACTGCTCCGTTACCTGTCGGATATCACCCAGTCCTTCCGTTAGGAAACTTGAAAACGTCGTGCTTGGTCTTTGTCTCTTGTTTTCGACTTGTACAGCTGGTGGTAGCCACGTGTTCTCTTGTGTACTGGACTAATTCCGTATTTTGAGTGCATTCGTCGCAGCCAGCTAGTCATCATACATATAGGAAAGCGCTATACTGCCGTTTCGTCCTATGTAGACTCGTCAATATCGCGTACCCGCCACATTCGAACCCATGACTGTACTTTTACGAGCCAGCGACTTTTGGTACTGAGCCATTTGGGATGGTGGTGGACCGCTGTGACAGATTTCTAACTGCGACATAGCATGGCTCATCCACCACTGTCTTCCCTGTTACGAACATGCGTGAGAACTGAGTACCAAACCATTGGCTACTGCCGGGCACTATTCCTTGAATTCGCCCCGCTGCCTTGCGGCTAGGCTATTCAGCCAAAGGCTCTTGGTGCCGTCTCCTAAGTCGACTGTCTACTTCGGTTTGGACAACCGGGTAGTATCGTGAAGCGATTATGGGTTTCTCTGCGTTGTGTTGTGTTTTCGTTTTTGACCATTATACCCTCTTTGATTTCCATGATTTTCGATGGCTCCATGTCTATTCGTAGACTGCTGAAACTGTTATGGTCACCAACGTCGTCCCGGCCGCTGCGATTGGCTGTTCGCTGAAACTTGCCCCCCCCCCCTAATTGGCTGATCAAAGAGGCAAGGTCGTAGACACAGTGTACTGGCCGCCAGACACGGGATGATTATAGAGTGCAGAATACCGATATCTATTTGTTCATAGCGACCATCTTGAATGTTCTTAGTTCTCTTCTTAACTTACCAATGATAGTATTGGATTGTGCGAGAACATTCTATTGATTGACCAACGCGATTATTTTGCTCGATTTCTGGAGAGTGGTTGGACTTTGATCCTCTTTGTGTTCACTGATCCGTTCGTTAGGAAGTGCCCCCTCATAACAGAAACATCATTATATTGATTACTATCGCTTTCAATTAATGTGTGATAGTTGTCTAATTGTGTGTAGCTGCGACGAATCTTCTCAACACTACACAATAACCGCCCCCCTACTGCTATCTAATAATTCAGATTTTTCAGTTGCACCAAATAGCCTAATATTAGGCACGAATCCATATTTCGAGTTCATATTACTTTATCGTACAGCTCTCCATTTCTCACTCATTGCTTCACCAGAAATCCTACGATATGCTTGATCAATTGTCGTGCTGCTTTTGGCATTGAGAGTGTTGTATTTGCTGTTGCACGTGACAACAAAGCTCTGTAACTTTTTATCACCCCACTAGTTCGTTCATCGAAACCAATAGATGCAACATTGCAGAGCGACTAGTGTGTCCCAGCCGAGTTCCTTATGCTTTGTAGATATCACAGGGCATTTCGCTTTTTTGAATGCCGTCAGCCGCGAAGCATTGTCGCTTTCCAGAGGAGGAACAGCACTGTTGTACTTGATCCAGTGTGTTACATTTCCAGACTGTCTTTAGAATTTGCACTACCCGCGTTCACCTGCTCTCACTTTGCGTATGCTTGTCAACCTCCTAACTCCATACTTGTTCATCTTGCATTCATCTGATCTATAAAACCACTTAATCGTCCTCTTTGTTACGGACCAAAAAACGAACCGCTGTCTAGTGTTACATGTTTCTGACTTGCAAATCTTCTGCTCCAAGTTCGAGCAGTGGTGCGCCTGCCTTGTTTTAGGCGCCCTGATAGTATCCCGGCTCAGCACAACCGCTTACGCTTGTACAGCAACTAGGCATCAGTACAAAATGTCAGTTTCCCGACGATGGTGATGCATTGCTTCAGGCATATAGCTTACTGCAACTACTGCTTCAGATTCGAGCTCTTTTGCATATTAGCTTCGGTTGGGCGTCCTATCAACATCTTACCCTACTTATGACCGCGTATGGTCCATTAAAACAAAGGGTTGGTGGGTTGTTACTATGTCTACATATTTTCCACTCCTCAACTCGGCCACACCTGTGGTTCTAAACAATATTCAGCAGTCTAAGAAGCGATTATGCTTGGAGGGAAGACTCTCATTTCCCGCTGCTCCACTTTTATATCCGCTTTAATTTTCATATAGACTTTAAGCTTACTGATTCGATCTGTGCCCCTCTTCTACCATCGAATTCCATTTGAAGTTGAAGTTTCGCACCATATGATTATGATTACGAATTAGAGAACCATGGCGACTAGTGAACGGCTTTGTTTGTGTTTACCAACATTTGTTTTTTGTGCTTTCTACTGGCAGCTTGGCAAGGTTGACATGAAGAGGTGCGAGCGCTACAATTGATGTGAAGATCGATTTCTTGACAGTTCGTCTAGTCAGCCATAAGGTAAAAAGCACATAACTCCGATGCATCCAATTGCCACGTACCCTGTATCCATAAAATAAGGCTGTATACCAGCGTTTAGCGGTGTATTATTTTTAATATGCACGTTAGCTGCAGGCGGAAAACACAGCTGTTGTGTCGCAAAAAGATGACGCCTGCCGGCTTAGTCACCAGTAACGGATGGACATCGTTCCGGAGAGCCAACTATTGTGCCGCACAAACGGAGTTATATTATGCCTAATAAATGCGATCATGGTTGGGGGGAGGATAAGCGTGAGCGGGTGGGACAAAGAAACTCGCTACACGGACGCTATTGAGGTCGGCTACTAGCCGTGTCAACAAACGTATCTAGCCAAACGTGTTCATCATATTTCGGACCCCAAACAGGGAACCGAGACGCTCCAACTGAGGCCAGCTTCGAAGTGAGGGCTTTCATTCCTCTCGACCAAGTCATCGCTTGGTCACCTCTCCTCTTCTTCCATCTGCACTATCTGCGCGCAAACAGCGCACGTCGCGGGAGTCGGTGGGCCGGCATGCGCAACACGTGACCCAGCCATCGGAGCCTGGTGCGTGTAATAATGGTGCTGAGCGGTTCATTTCCTTTTCCTGTGTCGTAAACAAGGCGTCGAACATGCTCGTTGTTCGCGCAGTGTTCCCACCAGATGTGAGCTAAATTGCGAAGGCACCGGTGGTCGAACGTAACTAGACGCTTTATATCCGCTGATCTAAGGGCCAGGTTACGCAGCCGTACAGCAGCGTCAGACGTACAGCTGCATTGTGCCCTCTACCTTTCAAAGCGAGAGTGATGTCGTACTGGCGCCATAAGTGCGAAGGATAGCAAAAGTGCCTCGAGCTTTGAGGATAGCTTTGCACTTTGAGTGTGCAATGCATTGCCCGAAACGAATGACAGCCAATACTAATCGGTTCAGTGCCACTTGGCACGTTTGTGGGCTGTCCCAGATGTGCGCAATATCGTCAGCATACTCTAAGTCAAGAAGTCGTTCTCCTGGAAGCAGATCCACACATTCTAACTCGTGTCCTGCGAACGCGATTTCCATGACTTCGTGCATAGCGAAGTTGAAGAGGAAAGCTGACAGAGGGCATCCTTATCTTACACCACTGGAGATTTTGAAGGGCTGCGACAGCTTTATGTAAACCCTTACTCATCCCAAGCTACGTGCCTGTAATGCTCGGATAACATTTACATTTTTTTGGGCATACTTTTCCTTAGCAGACAATCCCAAAGGGCATCTTGATCCACTGAGTGGGAGACACCTTTGGTGTCGTGGAACACGACAACTGTGGGTCGCCAATATATGTTACGGTGCTTCAACAACCGACGTAATGTGAATATGTGGTGGATGCAGCCTCGACCTCGACAAAACCCGGCTTGTACCTCACGAATCTGGCTTTCACGAGCACCAGTCAGCCTGTGAAGGATTACAGAGGCAAATAATTTGGAGGCAATGGGGATCAGACTGATTCCTCTATGGTTGCCTCATCCCTAACAAGAGCCTGCCTTACTTTCGGGACAATACCAGAGCGGGTCCAGTCGGTTGGAACAGTTCCATGCTCTCACAGTTTCACCAGTATATCGTGTGAATCACCCATAAGAGCAGCCCCGAATTTGAAGAGGGTTGAATGAAGATCATCTGGTCTCGCGGCTTTACTCAACTTCTGCAGTCCGATCCCACGTTTGACTTCTGAGCGAGAGGGCGAATCCATAAGGACAGCCCAGGAAGCGGGGCGATCACTGGCCGGTGAGGAATCTAACAATTCCGGCCAATTAAATTGCTTTTCAAAATGCCCAGCCTAACGCTCCAAAAGTTTTGACAAGTTGTGGATAGCCTGTCCACTCTCGTCATAAATTGTTTCACTAACACCATGTCTCCTGCTGCTCGTTTCTCGTATCAGACCGATTAACTTTCGATGGTTTCCAAGGGCAGCGGCCATTTCCATCTCTGACGCACGAAGAGACCACCAGAATTCGCGGTCTCTTCAGGCTAGCACGGAGTTTTGCCCTGATGTCTTTTCGAGTCTCGTTGTGTTCGCTTCCAGCTGGAAGGTGCCGGCGAGCATCGATAAGTTTCCTATACTGCGAAGAAACCCATGTCTTAGCTCAAGACATCTCTACCTGACGAGTCCAACTCAGAACGAAACCGGTTTGTCTTGGAGTGCGGCGTTGGAAGAAGGCATCTCCGCGGCTCTCCGCAGACACAGTCTACTTTGGCTAGTGGATGTACTACATGATGATTTACCTGCTTCTAGTAAGGTCTGGTAAACATACGACCAGTGGTCTTCAACTGTATTGAGTGGGCGGTTGCTCAGCCCGAACGCCAGCGTACTTCGATACGGATTCAGAACACCTGGCTTAGCCAATTGGCTGGCGTCTACATGCTTGTCGAGGGCGACCGCAAAACGCAACTGCAGATCAGCACATACAGATGAACGGTAATTGTTCACACATATGCTCCAAATCGAGCGACAGTTTTTGGACGCAACCTCTCCAGCGATAACTGATCGCGATGTGCGTCCACGGCTAGTGGGCGCCATGTCGCTTTCCAACCAGTGCTGTGTCGAAACTTAATGCTCGCTAGAAATGAACGAGAATCATAACACAAATGAGGTAACCGCTCACCGTTATCATTACGGGAGCCTACACCATGTTGGCCACCCAGATGCAGCTCATCAGTGGACAATCTTCCAACTTGAGCGTTCAGATCCCCAGCCAGCACTACTGTGTTCGTGCTTCTTTTGTGGCGAAGGAGCTCGTTCAGTTGATGATAGAAGTCGTCTTTTATCGTGTCATTGCTACAGTTTGTGGGGGCGTAGTCAGCGATGACAAACAGGTACCTATTAGCCCACTCGAATTTGAAGCTTTGAACGGGCCAGCCAGTCGGACCGTACACATCCGGCTACTGATTGATATCTAATCAAGCAGAGCAGCTTCTGCCCGGGGACTCAGAACGATACCAATGTCGGCTTGTCCGGTACTCGAAGCTTTATCGTCTCCGAATAGACGCATTGAGAAAGCACTGCTAGTTTCACCTGAAAGGGATATCAGAGTGCGAGCAGAGCTCTGGTCTTTTAGGCGGGTTTCCAATAGGCAGCAGATATCAATGGAGAGGGCCTCCAATGTTCGGGCAAGTGCTGCTTGTTGATCGATCTTCAACCCTGCGCGTACATTGAGACGTGTCAATCTGAGTGCGGATCAGGATCTCTAAATGGAAACCGATGAACTGGGCTCCACCGCTTTGTTAGACATGGGCTTGTCGATAGGGTAAGGGTGACGATGCGTGTTTGCATGTGAGTTGAAACTGGAAGATAAACGCCTAACAAAGCATGATGGGGGAAGGCCAAGAGTTGGGGGGTTGAAAACGAGGGGGATAAATGGGAAGTTGGAACGGGACGATAAGGGTGCAAAAGCGTAAGAGGGGTAATGAGAAGACGCGAAGGCTTGAGCAATAGCATCCAAACCCCTATCTACCCTGCTCGATGCAGCTGACACGGCACCTTTGATTATCCCCTGCTGCGGCCAGAGCATCAGGAAATTGTTTGAGGAAGCATTCACAGTATTTCTTGGACAGGACACTGTCAGGTTGCCCAGGTCTAAATAGGAGAACGATTAGGGTTCTCAACCAGTGCCTTTGGTACAAAACTTGACCGCAAGGCAGCGGGCTTGGTAGTGGACTACAAGGAGTCCGTTTTCAGGAATAAGGAGCCACTCTCACTCTCACACCGAACCTGGAGGGCTAGGAGGCTGACTTTGTCTGGCCTCTAACCATTAACCAATCTGCTGTGCGTGGCTTTAAAGGTGCAAACAAGTACCACCCCGCGTAGCATAATGGATCGCTAAGGCACACAAATCATCGCACCACGGTAAGGTCCAGCCTCATTGCAATGGGTTTGGCAGTATGAGGAGACCAAAAGAGCACAATCAAACAAGGACCGCACGTCAAAGAAAAGAGACAGACTAGTTGACTCATTAAGACACAATATCCAGTGTTGGAGTGATCTTGGCTCCGCGGATTTACCGTGCGGGGTTCACTCCCGAGGACTGAATGTACCTTCTCGATTATTCTTCGTTTAAGTTCTCACTTTGATACTTTGTTTGATTAGACGCAATGTTTTAGGCTGATTCGTCTTCATCCTTGATGGTTTGTTCAATGTCCGATTAACAGCGAATAACTACAACCGACGATAGACAGTAATGGTTTTTTCACTCTCGTGGCAGAATTTTCTGCGTAGCTGAATAACTAAATAAAGTTTATTCTTCGCTGTGCGAAGTACTCCGTTAGAGGTATGAGTGTACATTGCGTAGATCATATGCTGATCGGAAAAATTCAGATACTGTTCTGTTATTGATAGTTGAAAGTGCACATACGTTGATTGCAGGTTCATTTTGAAGCACTGGTTTTGTGTGGATCGATTGCGACGCGCAGTCTCAACCTGGAGCGCGATTCCCGTTGAAATTGGTCATTGGAACCGTTTCTGCAGTAGCTTAACCTTGACTGTCGCCCGTTCGCAAAACTACAGTGTTGCGAGTGTGCAGCAACCAATATATACTCGCCTTATGCTGCTTCTTCAAATACTTTCGTTTTTATATTACTTTTGAGTAGGAGCATTTTAGTTGTAATTTTCAATGTATTCGTCCCAGCAGCCACAAGCTGCATATCACAACCGCAATCCGGTAAAGCACCAGAGGCGTTTCGACCTATTGGGACTCGTCAATGGTGCGCATTCCCTCGTTTTTGTGCAACAATACTTCTTATCTTTTGCTCGCCTGGCAATACACAGTCACCGCACCCTTTTTATGGCTCATTATCCTTAAGTATAATCTGTTGGCCGCCTCTGACGTACTAATGTATGAAGAACATGACTGAGAGACTTAATCAGGCTGGTGCGTGCCGTCTTCGTAGACGCGGGCACCGAGATAATCCCAACATCAGTGGTTGGAGACTCGGCGGACATGGCTCAGTCACTGACGTTCCTGCACTCGGTTTCGTGCATCTAACCGAAAATTCTCATTCCATCCTGTTTACTTTCATGCAACCCCTTGTTTCCATTTTCTTTACATTCTATTTGCATATGCCCTCATATTTTGCCGTTCTTTAATTGCTATTCTTTTGATGTTAGTTGTGGCAACTGGATCTACTGCACTTCGGTGTCCGGATTATGGCTGTTTAGTTGAACTCAACCGTTGATTACCTGTGGCTTGACAATATCTCCTTTGGAGCTGTCACCACAAGCACAAAGCTTCTATTTTGTTTCATCATCTGCAAAGATCAGCGACACTCTTCTCCCTTGCTCTCATTGTGTGCGTTTAGTTCGACATTGCAATTTGTTTGCCTGCCTTACATATTGTTCACATTGTTACTGTGTTCGCCTTTGCTCCACTATTCTGTTTGGCGTTTTGCGCGTAATTCGCCTACTCATCAGTCAACACACATGTGCCTCTGACCTCTATTTCCATCCTTGACCTTGGTCTTTTCTTCCAGCCTATCCTAATTACTCGCGATCTGGTGGACGAGTGTCTCGCAATCGTAGTTCCTGCGGTGAAGAACACGGCCGAATTTGTCACCATTCCGAACATTACTTGGGCTGACGTCGGGGGTCTGGACTCGATCCGCACAAAGCTTCACAATCGGTTCATGGTTTGTAATGATTATTTGCGGTTCCTGATTACCTTTACCAACTATGTTGCCGTTCACTTTGCACCACGCAGTGTTTTTGCATACGGAACCGCACATACATTCTGCTTTTCCATTTGCAATCCATCCCCGCTATCTTTATGTAAGCTTCTATCTTGCGAAATTGTGACCAGTCCCTATAGGGTTTTATCGCATTTATCTTGCAAATTCCCGCAGCGTATCATGATATTAATCGTTCTATCTACTCTCAGTCGAATACGGTACGTAATTAATGCGTTTTAGCGAGCGGCCGCCTCATTTACTCAGCAGCGATGTTCATAATGGCTCAGGGGCCAATCAAGGCTCGTTCAAATTAAATGCACTCTGAATTTCTCAACCCTTTGCTCCAACCATTTTAGGTAAAACTACACTCAAGCACAGTCTCTGTTTTTAGTGACTTAGTTCGCTGAAGTCCATTCCATGTTTACATCTCGGTTTTGCTGATCTTGGAAACCGACTGGTCGTATTAGCCACTGACTGCACTTAGACTGTTTCTAAAATTTCTATATCCAGAGCAGTCCTCATTAATTCCTCCGAGACAGTTGTCGAGGTCATTCACACCTGCCTTTGAATTTCCATTGAATTGCCATCCCAATGGTTATAGTGGTTTATATGTCTTGTCGGAAAGGGCATAGCCCTTCTATATTGTTGATCTTGTCCCTCACAACGTCCCTTTACCTACGTCATGGTTGCTGCTATCCTACCTCATATGTACTCGTGACTTGGATGTCACGGATAATAAGTTCCCTCGTCACATTGCCTACCCACTCCATCTCATGTTTTGGCCTGGAGAAATTTTCCCCCCATAATTCTCCTGAATCCGGCACACACACACACACACCTCGTGAAAGCATTTCGTCCATCCGTTTGCATAGTTGCTAATCTTTGTGCATGGCAGCATCATCTACCCTACGAGTCCACGTTGGTATGGTGTTGAATAATCAAAACTCGCATCATGTTACTGCATGCTTGTTGTATGTCATTCATGCCCGATCTGCACCAGCAGACTGTGTGCACACGGTGACTATAGTTTGTCTCCCTATATTCTGTGTACGTAGTCGGTTCACTAGGTCCTAGCTGTCCGTATCACAAAACTGATTCATTATACACGTTAACTACAGGTGGAAAACATCTCAGCTATTGTTCCACAATACAAAAGATATGCAACTGAGGCACACCGGCTGACTCACCGGTAACGGATGAACATCGTTCCGTAGATCTGACAGCCCGTTATTGTGCCGCAAAATAGTGTTGTATTCCTACTAAAATAAGATCGTGATTGTAGGGGAAAACTAAGCGGGAAGGGAGGGAACAAAGAAACTGATTATAGACTTGCCGTTACGGCCGCATCTGCCACCACTGGAATTAACAGTTGCCAATCACCAATAACTTAGGGTATAAACTTTTCCACTGCATTATTAAGTCTCCCGTTAATTGTGTATATTACTAAACCGGACACAGAACTCCCGCTAATAACCTACGCACTCTAGTGCTACCAAAGTGTAGGGCCGGCACATTGCGCCATTTTACCTTCATCATCTCGATTTTGCAAGCAAACATTACGCCTGTCTATCCATTGTTCATAGAGAGCTTGGCGATAGAGACAGTATATACTTTGAAGCAGCGCTACTTTCAATTACAAAGGATGTGCTGACACCCGGTGTACCGCTTGATATTTCCGCAAGACTGCTAAGCGACCGAGAAAAGAATGGCTTACTGAACACAGTAAAAGGATGCCACATCACGCTTGTCCCATCCATTTGAGTCCACCACCGCGTGAGAGCAATAGGATCTGAAAAGACAAACATTGGCAGCACATGCGCTTCAGATTGTACCAGCTGAATACCCTATCTGTTCATGAAAATGGAAATTACATGCACCATAGACATACACAAGTGATAAATATGTGAATGCAATGATGCAACCAAGGGTAGTATTGAAATAATCTGCGCCGATAGGTCTTTTTGATAGACTGTGTACTCTTACAACGTGGCTACCGTTCTTACTCAACCGCTTTCCGTTCCAGCTGCTCGTAGACGATTGGGAACGTGCTCAAGCTTTGCATCGTCACTCTGGCGGAGTGCTTCTCGAGGGCCCACCTGGCTGTGGAAAAACGCTCGTGGCCAAAGCACTTTCCAACCAAGCCGGCTTGAACTTTTTATCTGTTAAGGGCCCAGAGGTGCTTAACAAGTTCCAAGGCGAGAGTGAACGGCGCATACGGGAGATATTCGAGAGGGCACGAGCCTGTCAGCCCTGTTTGATTTTCTTCGACGAAATCGATGCGATTTGCCCAAGACGCGATGGAGACGAAGCCACAGGTGAGCGTCGAACACCCCACCATGGACTGTTGTGGGGACGCGCTTGGGTATTATTGTCTTAAACGCGTACTTTTATTACAGCTTTGAGAGCGCTCTTTGCTACCATTTATGCGACACCTCATCGACCGATTACTCTTTTCCCACGACTTTGTCACCTCATTGACTCCCAAAATCTTCAGCATATCACTTTAACACCTTTTGCTTCTCCTATCTGGCTAGGCATTCTCAACGCGCTGGTACAGTGTGACTCTTAAAAACCCAATGACTGTCTTCTTGGCAATACACACCACTGAACCGTCCATGTCATTTGTCTGCCTTGGCAGTTCGGCACTGCAGATTCATCGTTTCCTCCACTTCCGACGAGTTGTGTATGTGAGAATCTTAGTATACGGCTGCTCACAAGTTTACTCCTTCTGATCGTATGCGCGCATTTCTTTTGTCTTATTTCTTCCACACACTCATACACACACACACAGCCCTAAATATCTTCATCAACCTTGCTTAGCCGACAAATCTTACTGTCTGCTTAACAATTCTTAGCTCTTGACTCCATGGCGTTTGTGCATTCCGTATTCTCTGGTTAATTTTCCACGAAACCTGAACCCTGCAATGCAACTATCCTTTCCCTATCAAATCCCTTCTTCAATCACGGAGTACGTTCCTCGTCATTCTGTTATGCTTAGAAAGCAAGGCTGAAGCATGAACTTGTCTGAATGGCTACCTATCGCTCTCCCCATTGCATACTTGTTAACGATTATTCTTGACCTTCAACTACCATTCAACGTCTAGCTGGTGAATTCTGTTACGATCGCTTTGACTTTAGCACGTTTTCATTGAGGGTACTCATCATGATGGCGACAGAGTGCCTCACTGTGGCATCTGGAAATTGCTTTTCAAACTTCACAGCAAACTCCGTGTCTCATCTAAAGCTTGGTTGGTTTCGTCGTGTTCAAACTTACACTCCACTCTTATGTTCGCGCTGTCACAGTGCGCAGCACCACTTCTAATTGATGCCTCTTGTATCGAGTGCGATACTACGCACACAGCCTCACGCACACTCCATGTGCTGCCCAGTAGGTCGAATGTACCTGGGGAACACGAATGTTTCTCGGTTACGTCACACTTTTCATCAAACCCCCTTTCATCAGTCGATGTGCGCGATAAACTTATTTGCTGTGACCAACGTTGCTATCTTCATACTCATTAGGGCATCGCTAGTACGTCAGCATGCCGTACTAACGCTTCGCTGCCACGCGACCACCACCAATCGCGCGAGCTCTGCTTATACCGCTAGGTGACCGAGTGGTCTGCACACCTGGCTTGCAATTATAAGGTCACCGGTTCGAATCGGTGTATGGGCGCGTGTCCTCGCTGTACAATCTGCCCATAAGCGACTAGTGGTGGTTACGCGGCAGCGAAGCGGCGTTACGGCGTACAGTTGGCACATCATTTTATTATTATTTTATACCGCGAGGTCGCCCGTCCGTACGCTTATTCGGATCGACGACGCTGGGATTACAAAGCAGGCGCGTAGTCCTTTCGACCACCGGGCGACTATTACTGAACAACAACTATAGAACGTGAGTGAAGGGGCTTAAATTTGCCATCAAAATGTTTAAAGGGATAATTTAAGCACGCATTTGTTAGCGGCACCATCTGCAGGTTGAAAAAACGGATTGGGCACAAAAATGCCGTTGGCTTATCGGCTAGGCACATTGCTTGACGATTTCACCAATTTTTGTTGCGGTGGCTCATGTCGGTCCCTTCCAAGTTATTATTAGCTCGTCATTGTCTTTCTGTCAATCCCTTCCTTGTCTCCCAAGACGTTGTCGACTAACTACTTTGAAGTATCACCTGAACAGGCACCTTATCCGCAAGCAGAACACGCTTGAGTAGCAATTGACCGAACTTTTGAATACTTTGGCTGTTACCGTAGGGTACATATTATGTCCCTTCGAGGATGGACGTACCAACTGACGAGCGCAAGTCTTGCTTGTCTTGAGTACTAGTGCGACTTCGACATAGGGAGTCAAACGCGTCCAGCCTCTTGATGTCCTCAGCGTGCATTGGTGCTATCTCTGATCTGTACAGCTAGTCTGATGGCATTGATCTTTTGTACAAATTGCTTTTAGTCGAGACGCTAATATTACGTAAGCAATCGCGTCTTCGTATTAGTAACTCGTTGTTAAACTGAGACGGCACATTTTGTGGGCATACTAGTCTTTATGAATAGGTGTCTTCCAGTCATTTGCTCTGGCACAGATCAGCTGAACCTGTTCACTGGTTGACAGTTTGGCCTTGACCTATATTCCTGTAACAATGTTCTTTGAACTCACCACGAAAGAGAACAGTACCCGGAGCCGCGTGCTGCAAAGATTATCTATCTTGTGAATGGAAGGATTTTGGTGGGTATTTTTGTTCGTCGCAATCAGCCGACAATTCAGATATGTCGACCAGCTGTCCGGAAAAGCACCAGACGGCCGTTTCGCCCTATTGGGGCTCATCAGTGGTGCGCATCCTTCGGTCCTCTATGGAGGATCGAACCCATGACTGCTAGTGGCTCTTGCCAACTAGCCCGCAGCTTATGCAACTGCGCCATGGAGGACGGTACCTGACTATCGTGAATTGTTAGCTAAATGCGATATAGCCCGACGCATCCTCCACTGCCATGCAGGCACCTGCCATGCAGATGACAGCGGTCGGCCTTCCGGCGTCAGGACTTCCCGGTTACGGCAGCTATGAATCGACATAGCATTTTCTGGAATCCGTACGGGCGAATTGGTATTACTTGTGAATGGAAGGATTTTGGTGGGTATTTAGCTAACAATTCACGATAGTCAGGTACCGTCCTCCATGGCGCAGTTGCATAAGCTGCGGGCTAGTTGGCAAGAGCCACTAGCAGTCATGGGTTCGATCCTCCATAGAGGACCGTAGGATGCGCACCACTGATGAGCCCCAATAGGGCGAAACGGCCGTCTGGTGCTTTTCCGGGCAGCTGGTCGACATATCTGAATTGTCGGCTGATTGCGACGATTATCTATCTTTTTGTTACAATGGTCTTGGAGGCTGCGTTCGTTCCCAACCGAGCAATGGATTGGACGTTGAGTGCCACGCGATTAAGTCGGCCTCTGTTTGCTATTACGACGCGTCATTTTGTTTCACATAACCCCAGCGGCGGGCGAATTATTGCTTTACAAACCCTTTCAGCACCCAACGTTCGCTTCTTCCTCACTGAAGACTCACTACTCACTCGAGTAGTAACGCATCTCCTCTGCTATCTTCACCGTTGCTGGCTTCGAGGGACTATGGATTTGGTCGCTGGTAGAGCCGAAGGGTGTGCACTACTGATGAACTCCAATAGGACGAAGCAGCTGTCTAGTGCTTTGTTGTTTCCAGGCGGTCTAATTGCAATGCACAACCTGTCACATATCCCCACCTTTTCCCTTTGTTTGCTTTCTCTCTGCTTATTCTCCGGTGTCCTTTTCTTATCAACGTGATACGACTGCTAAATCCACTACACTTCCGTACTTTCTTGGTTAACATTTCAGAGCCCAATTGATATTTGACAATCGCTTGGTCTTTTGCTTGGTATGCTCTTCCAAACCTTCTAACATAAAGGCTGAACCAACTCACATTCACTTCTCCTTACACGGCGAACTCACTGTAGATGTCTTCTGTTGTCAGTATATCTCATTACTGTCCAACATATGTGAGGCAAATTTCATGAATTCGCTGCATTTGATCATTTCCTTCCTTCTTTTAAATCTTCATCCGTTTTCCCAGGTAGCCGTGTCAGTCTGGTTAATCAACTTCTTGTGGAGCTAGATGGCATTGATAAGCATCGCTCTGGTCGCGTATTTGTTGTGGGTGCCACCAATCGCAAGGATATGATCGATCCGGCTATTCTGCGTCCCGGACGTCTTGGATTACATTTGTTTATTAATCCACCTCAGACCGCTGCCGAGCGAGCTTCTGTTCTTTGTGCATGTACGCAATCTGCAACGGCTCCAATAGTCCAGGGTGGAGTGGAGTCCCTAAACGAATTAGCCAACGATTCCCGTACGATTGGTATGAGGTGAGGGTTTTCTCGCATTTTACTCACTCATTGGTCATTACTTCTAGCGTCTCTTGTCGCTTTCTACTGTTTTCTTGTGGCCATCTAAGCACGCGCCGCTATAGACCAGTACCGACTTCACTACCGGCACATTAAGCACTACTCATTGGTGGCCAGTCGATGACGTGGCATAAGGGAATGAAGAAATTGACAAGGAGGCTTGTCAGGCCAGTGCATGTCATCTTCGTGGATGGGGTCCGAGGTGATTCACACCGTTGGTTGGACATTCCATCAGACATTATGCACCTGTACCGTCATTGGCGTTGCTTCATTCGGTTTCTTGCATCTAGCCGTTAATTTTTATTCCATATTTATTAGTTTAACGCAGCACATTCTTGTTTCCCTTTTCTTTGCAGTCAACCATATTTCCTTGCCGTTGTTATTTACTACTGTTCTGGCGATGTGCTTCGTGGCAACTACATCCACCGTACTTCGTTACTCGGATCATGAGGTTTCAACTTCACTGAAGAGCCACTCATGGCCGTCTTAGGTTCCTCAGCTCTCGTTTATCGGTTACATGTCGACCGGCTGTTTATATTTTAAACAGACTTGACAGACTCAAACTCACTGACCATTCCATCCGCTCTGCTTCGTTCTCATCCATACGACTGTTTCCATGCTGCTCTCCAGGTGGCATACGAGTCACGATGACGTAACTCGCACTGAGTACACGACTATTCGACATGAGGGCGACCCGTCGTGTAGCACTGCCTGCAGTCTCTACATTCCGAGTTCGAGCCCCCGCTCCTACATGCATCTGGTAACCATATCTTATCCCGGTCCAGATGCAGCCACTTGCGGTCACATGGCAACGGAGCATCACTGCAGACTATCGGCACAGTGCCTGTGCTCTGTACCCTGCTGAGATATTTACGGATTCGGGTGGTTATCACTTTATCCAACCAGTTGCACAGCATTTGACTCACATTTTTAGTGCGGTAAACGTTATTCACTTTGCCATTACCGTGCTGCGTGCATGTTGGCTCATCTAGTAGTGTAAGCTGGGACTCGTTCATATGTATTGCGTTGTTTTTCTTGACAGTGGCTGAACCATTTCGCCATCGTATCACGTCTACTGACTGCATACCTCATTATCGACACACTGTGGTTATTGTCCATTGAAGTCCTTAACCTAAGTTGCTCTATTGCATTCAAACGTTACACACAGTGGAGTAATTGTCTAACTTGCAACTATAATCGAATGTAGTTGAATATTTGTAGCCTCTCTTCACACCGTCGCATCTGCGCCGCACTCTTTACTCGGTTTGCGCACCATCGTCCCCAATAGTAAGATGTTCCACTCGGAATTTCTTCATTGATTCTCTTGTTATCCTTTGTTTCCACAGTGGAGCCGATTTGGACAACTTGCTGGAGGTGGCCAAGCAACTCGCTCAACTTGACAAACAGGATTTCATCTCCCGTTCTCATTTATACACTGCGCTAAAGGAACTATGTACAGAGAAATGCGCTCAATAAACTCGGACTAAACTGAGCGTTCTGTTACCTTGCTTGTGCAGTGACCTCTTTCCCACACCACTTTGCACTGGTACTAATGCACTTCAGACCCTTGGGGGGCTACTTTGGAAGCCATCAGGTACATTTCTCACTTTCAAATCCCAGGCTCTCCTTAACAGGGTCACGCGTAAGTGCTAATGGTTTTGCGACTTCAGCCTTAATTTCAGTGTTTTCTTACAGCACCACTCTTATCCCATTCACTTTCCAACATCTCTCAATGCGCACATCGTGATGCTCTCAGTCCTCTGAGGAACCAGCGTCCATATCGTGTTCGGCCACCGTTTATGCCACGTCACACAAAGTGATCTTATGCAGCTCTACCGAACCGAAAACATGTTTAACGTATCCAACTTGGACAGGCCTCACTCTCATGTCACTGCCTCTTGTGTTTACAAGTTTAACTCACGGTAGCATGTACATTTGCTGGACAGGGGGGAGGTTGTCTACTTGGATTTCGATACACATATCACGGAACCTAACCCTCGGCGGTGCAACGTTATCTACTAGCTCTGTTGCCCGGCACCTGCTCAATGGCATTCAAGGTCATCAACGAACAGAAAAATCCCAAGTTGATTCGTTTTGCTGAATCTTCTGCCATTCGGCCTTCGAAGCCTAAAGTATGTATACAGCTTGAGTTTGTGGCCAATCTCGCTTTGCTTTGCTAGGACGTGACAGCTTCGCTGTTACAATTAACCATCGATTTCTGGTATTGACCTATCATTCCCGACCGTTTGACGCGCAGTACACCGAATTTAGGTCATTCCGATGAAATATTGGCTTTTCTTGCACTTTTGAATTTTTTCAAAAGAAGTGGTCGTATGGCATTTTCAAAGCAAGATCATCCGCATGACCAATTTTGTTCGCTGGATAATCTGGTTTCACGATGTTGCTCTCTCCGCTGAAGCCGCTCGTGCCGAGGCATACAAAGAATGCGCGTGGTTGTCGAAATACCCACACCCGTTTCTGAAGTCCTTGAGAAGATACATTTACGACGCTTTACGAAAAATCTCGCATCGAAGCTTCTATCCACCGCCTTGGCCAAATAAAAACGAAGGTAGTGTGCGTGGAACACGTCTTGAGTGGACTGGATCTTGTGTGTCGTGTGAAGTTCTGGGGCTTACTTCGTGACTTTCACGTTATAAAAGGGATACTAGCAAAGTAACAAATTCTTATAAAATGTGTATTTTTTGTTCATCTCAAAGAGAAACCCAAGCGGGGATTTCAGAGCAAACACATATCATCATTCCACACGTCAGCTATCCTATTGCAATACATAGGAGAGAAAAAAACACAACAGAGAGACACCAGCTGACCCATCAACAATGGGTGAACATAGTTCCAGAGAGCTAGCAACAGGCTATTGTGCCATAGAAAGAGTTCTGTGTTGGGAATTGATCGTGCTTGAAGTAGGAGGAGGCTAAGCGGGAGAGCGTGAGACGAAGAAATTCCCGACACAAACGCCACTGAGGTCGCCTCCCGGCCATGTCAACAAGTGTATCTAGCAAAACGTGTTCATCATCTTTCGGTCCCCTTGTTGGCCTCCCCTCTTTCATCCACACCTCCGGCGCACAACCACTTACGTTGTGGTGGTTGGTGTGCTGGTATGCGCAACACGTGGCCTAGCCATCGGATCCTCGTACGTTCATTAACGGTTCTGAGCGGTTCACTCCCGCTTCCTATGACATAAACATGGCGTGGAACACGCTCATTGTTCACGCGGTGTTCCTACCAGATATTAGCCAAACTGCGAAGGCATCGGTGGTCGAACGTAACTAGCCTCTATATCTATCGATTTAATGGGTCAGGTTTCACAACCGTATAGTAGTCGAGCGTACGACTGCATTGTATACACTACCCTTCAGAGAAAGAGTGACGTCGCGCTGGTGCCATAGGTGGCGCTGGTTGGCAAATCACCTATTGCTGTACAGTTCGTGACCTAGTCTCCGATTACACAGGCGCTAATACAACTGCTTAGGTAGTTGAATTTTTGAACGACTTCTAGCTGGTCCCCAGCGCACGACGCGGCCCACCCTAATCTTGGAGGAGAGCTTTGCACTTCGAGGTGCAGAAATAAGCACGAAACGGCTGACAGCCAGTGCTAATATGTCCAGTGCAACTTGGCACGTTTGAAAGTTGTCGCAGATGAGAGCAATGTCCTCAGCATACACCAAATCGAAAATTCCTTCATTTGAGAACAGCTCCACACCTAAGTCCTGTCCGACGAAAGGCAATTTGCATGCTTTCATCGGTGGCGAAGTTAAATATGAAAGATGACTGCTGGCGTTCCAGTTTTACATCGCTGGAGATCTTGAAAGACGGCGACAGCTTGCGGCAAGCCCTCACTCTGCCCGAGCAACGCGCATAAGGCACTCGGATAATATTTACGTATTTCTTTAGCACACCTTTCCTTAGTGGACAGTCCCAAAGGGTGCATCGCTCGACCGCCGCGATTTTTCCTAAAATCAGTTTATAGTTTTGCTCTGAGGTCTTTGCGGGCCTTGTTGTGTTCACTTTCAGCCGGAATGTGCTGGCGAACATCGATTAGCTCCAGAGACTGAGAAGAGACCCATTGTCCATGTTTTCTAATAGATTTACCACATGAAGATTTGCCTACTACTAATAAGCTTTGGTGAAGATGCGACCAGTAACCTTCGACTGTGCTCAGTGAGCGTTTACTCAAACTGAATTCCAGCCTACTTTAATCCACATTCGAAATATCTGGCTTTCCCAGTTGATTGTTGTCTATGCGCTCACGGCATCGTCATAGTCGTCCGTCAAATCGCACCCACAGATAGCATCTACAAGTGTATGCTTAATGCCCACACATGTTCCAAATCGAACGACGGTTTCGACCACAGCCTTTCTAGCCGCAACTGATCGTGATGTGATCGATTTGCGTCCATGACTGGTCCAATACTGGTGGGCGCTGTCACCCCCCGGTAAATGCTATGTCGGAAGTTGGTGCTCGCAAGCATCACACAAATGAAGTAACCGCTCACCGTTATCCTTACCTGGTTCTACACCATGTTGGCCACGTAGATGAAGCTCTTCAGTAGAAAATTTTCCAATGTGAGCGTTCGGATCTCTAGCCGATACTCAAGTATCCGTGCTTCTTTTTTGACTCACGGCAATACCAACACTGGCTTGGCAGGCACTCCATGCTGCATCACCGGATAGACGTAGTTAGAAAGCACTGCTTGTATCCCTTGAATCGGAGCACAGAGCTCGAATATTTCAGGCGAGTTTCCGATAAGTAGCAGATGTCGATCGGAAGGGTCTCTAATGTTCGAGCAAGTGCTACCTGTTGACAGATCTGTAACGACGTGTATACCTTGAGGCATGCCAATATGAGGGATAATTGAGCGCTCCAACTGGACACCGATGACCTAGGATTATCTGCTTACTTGGACATGGGTTTGTCGACAGATCGGGAGTGAAACTAGCAAGCTTGCTTGGTTGTCCACTCTCATCACATCTAGTTTCACTAACAGGTCTTCTGCTACCCGTTTCCCGTATCAGATGGAATAACTTAAGATGGTTACCAAAGCCAGTGGCCCCTTCCATCTATGATGCACGCTAAAACCATCAAGATTCGCGGTCCCTCTTCAGGTTAGCATGGGGTTGTGCACTGAGGTCTTTCCATGGTCAGTCTCCACACATGCGCCTCAAACCAGGCAAACAACTGTTTTCGATTTGTTTGTCATCAGGCTGGCTATGGAAAAGATGGATCTGACGAGTAGCAACTGATCAAAGCATTCCATTCGACTTCATCGATGTGCGTTCGACGATCATATGATGGAAACCGCGTGAGATTGATTGGTTCTGCTTTGTTCTTTTTATGCATATCCCTTCCGAGGAGGTAAGTAGTTGGGCCCTCAGCCGATGGTTCTGCTGTTATGTTGCTCCCAACATTAGCTCAGAAGCGGTCCCTTTGTCAAGTTGATGACCAGTGCCGACCAAGTGGTTAGTTCTATCATGTTGCTTCTTGAGCACACTTGGCAGATGTCCCTTGATTGTTTCACACAAATGCTCAGTCGTGCGTCTAACGTACCTAGACTCACAGGGACAGACAAAGTGGCAGATTACAAGAGATTGGAGTTGACCGGGCAATTTGTCGTTGAATCGAGGAAAAAATAGCGACTTGCTCAATAAGACAACTTTTAATCGGGCCGCGTTGAAGGCTTTCTCGTAGATTTCCACCAGTCGTCGTGCACACACTTCTGCCGCCGCGCCTCTGAATGCGAGAACGAGAAACAAATGTTTCTTTTCGACAATGCACCTTGCAATTTTTAGTCTGCTTTGTTTCGTGTGAGTACCAATGAGACGTTCAGAGTAACTGTTTCTCAGAATTTCTCCCCTGATTCGCTCCGATTCGTCCGGCATGGTGTCCTCACTGCAGATTCGGCATGAAAAGTTTGGTAAAGTGTGAACCGACGTTTTTTACGGCAATGTGTACAAAACTTCGGAACTGTATGTGTTGACCTGTGCAGGATGGTTTTCTGCATAATCCTATTTTCACTGATTCATCTTGTCTTCTGGTAATGTTTGCATCCAGGGAACCCTATTGACTTTCCTCTTCTATCGTGAAGGTTGCATCAGGCGGTGTTCGTTTGAAACGATGGACGGTATGTTGTAGGCTGGTCGCTCGGTCAAATATGCGGAAAATATCATCTACGTAACTGCGGTAGAATTTGAATGTTGAAATGACCCACTTTTGCAGGTCATCTTCGAGCATTCCCCTGTAGGGAGCATGACACAAAAAGAATTCGCTCTGGACAATCTGTGTGATGAGAGACGCGTTCCTTTTCCTAGGTACGTAAAGATTTTCACCTCCAAACGACTAGAAGAAGAGTTTCACTATGCAGATTAGGCTGCACCAGACAAAGTGTCCAGCTAAATTCCCGTTAAATCCTTAATATATGTACGTAGCTTGTCCAGCGTGCAATTGTCCTACGGTTGCACGTACTTTCATTGTGTCTCAATTTCAGTCACCGAAAAGATCATCGACTTGAAATTGGAACTCCATTTGTACACCAATAGCCAAACGTGCCGGTTTCAAGCGCTTCAGATTACTCCAGGTGAACATTGTTGATCAATACCAAAGATGTCTTGTGACACAATCCTGGCTGCTGATAAGTGCCCACATTGAAGTCGTGAGGGAACTCATTGGATGAGGGGACCAAGCCGGACAAAAGGTGGCGAATTGTGACCATGCATAGCGCGGAGTACATAATATAAAATGCAAGCACCCCACTCCGACACCTCAAGATTTATAGAGTTTTAGCAGATGGATAAAACGCATTAC